ACGCACCGGATGTCACTGCGTCCGTCCACTGCTCCTCTTGGTGCCCCTTTGCCTTCTCCTCCTGCTTCCTCGCTTCCTGCTCTTGCTGACCCGGAGTCGGACTCTCTTCGTGCTGCCAGTCCTACTGTCACGCGTCTCCTTGCTACTGCTGTCACTGACCCTTCCTTCGAGTCGTCTGCTGCGTCTGCCCTTGTCACTGAGCTTGTCGACTTTGCTGCACGCTGTCGTCTAGACTACGCTGCCAGTCTTGTCGCTGAGTCTGAGTCTGCCTGTCCTCCGTCCGTCGGGGGTGAGTGTGCCCTTGGCACGGACGTTCTTGAGGACAGGCAGAAGGAGTTCCAGTGTCTGGCTGCCGCTTCACCTCATCTCGCGTCTGTACTTCTAGCCCCTGAGGGAGACCCGGATGCACCAGACATCCCGACTCCGCGCTCTTACGCGGAGGCGATAGAGGGTCCCTACTCCTCTCAGTGGCAGGCAGCTATGGATGCAGAGATGGCTTCCTGGAAGTCCACAGGCACCTACGTCGACGCTGTTCCCCCTCCTGGGGCGAACATCGTCAGTGGCATGTGGATTTTCAGGGTGAAGCGGCCGCCGGGTTCACCGCCTGTCTTCAAGGCGCGTTACGTGGCTCGTGGCTTCAGTCAGCGGCAGGGGGTTGACTACTTTCAGACCTTCTCCCCCACCCCGAAGATGACTACTCTTCGGGTTCTGCTGCACGTTGCTGCTCACCGTGACTACGAGCTGCACTCTCTCGACTTCAGCACAGCTTTCTTGCAGGGCAGTCTGCACGAGGAGATCTGGCTGCGTCGCCCACCTGGCTTCACTGGGTCTTTCCCTCCTGGTACCCAGTGGAGTCTCCGGCGTCCAGTCTACGGTCTCCGCCAGGCGCCACGTGAGTGGCACGACACACTGAGGACTACGCTCGCGGCACTTGGGTTTGCTCCGTCTACTGCCAACCCGTCGCTGTTTCTGCGCACCGACACCTCTCTGCCGCTGTTCTACATCCTCGTGTACGTTGACGACTTGGTCTTTGCCACAGCTGACACTGCTGGACTCGCCTACGTGAAGTCCGAGCTGCAGAAGAGACACACGTGCACTGACCTGGGTGAACTGCGTAGCTACCTTGGCTTGCAGATCACCCGGGACAGAGTGCGCCGCACCATTACCCTGACTCAGTCACACATGGTGCAGCAGGTCCTTCAGCGCTTCGGCTTCACGTACTCCTCGCCTCAGGCCACTCCTCTGCCTACTCGCCACTCACTCTCAGCTCTGCCTTCGGATGAGTCCGTAGAGTCGAGTGGCCCGTTTGCAGAGCTTGTTGGCTGCCTCATGTACCTGATGACCTGCACACGTCCTGACCTTGCATACCCTCTTAGCATTCTCGCACGCTATGTTGCTCCTGGGAGACACCGACCAGAGCACATGGCTGCAGCGAAGAGGGTGTTGCGCTACTTGTTCAGCACGTCGGGCATGGGGCTAGTGCTTGGAGGGCGCAGTCCAGTGGTCCTCACTGGGCACGCAGACGCTTCTTGGGCTGACGACCAGGCTACGCAGCGGTCGTCACAGGGTTACACCTTCAGCCTTGGTTCCGGCTATGTTTCGTGGCGGGCTACCCGCTCGTCTTCTGTTCTCGGCTCTAGTTGTGAGGCTGAGATCTACGCTGGGGCTATGGCTGCGCAGGAGCTACGTTGGCTCACCTACCTGCTGACCGACCTTGGAGAGCAGCCTCGTTCTCCTCCAGTCCTGTACGTAAACAACAAGGCCATGCTGGCCTTGTGTCGAGAGCAGCGACTGGAGCACAGAACAAAGCACATTGCTCTCCGCTACTTTCTTGCTCGTGAGCTACAGCAGCGTGGACAGTTGCGACTTGCGTACGTGGCCTCTGAGGCCAACACTGCTGATGTCTTCACCAAGGCCCTTGTGCCTTGTGATCATCAGCGTTGTTGCACGCAGTTGGGTCTTGTGCCTGTCTTGCCTCACTTGCTCTCCTCTTGACCTTGCTTCTACCTTCGCCTATATATACTCTTGTTCTTGCTTGTTTGCCTCTTGTATATCTCTATATATGATCTTGCATGTGAACTGGCCTTCTGGCCTTTGAACTTGTGCTCGGAATGCGTGGTGACTTTGTGATCCACCCTGAGCTTTGCTTTGCTTTGCTTGACTGGTCTTGTGACCCCTTGTTCTCCCCCACTTTGCCTATGGGGGTGTGTCAGAACATATAGCTTACTTGTTTCTGTAGGCTATAGTGGGGTATCCCATAAGGGGTACAACCCAATCAGGGTTTCCTATTTGTACTCACTTCGTTCATAGTCATTCCATCCTCGTTCACTTCTTCTCAGGACCAGTGTAGGGAGAAGGAGCAGGCAGTGCAGAGGCCGGCTGTAACTATAACTGTGACGGGACAAGCTGTGGACACTCTAAGGGAGGAGGAGGACCAGTAGAAGGCGGAAGACCAAGAACCTGCTGAAGGAGCGGAACGAAGTACAGACAAGGCCGCGCGGCGACTCCAGACACAGTAGGGACAGCACCTGTACCCCCAGTGGTAGCACCAGCGCTTGCAGCACCTCCAGCAGCTCCAGTAGCTCCAGGACCTCCAGCATCACCAGTAGCACCCCCAGTAGGACCGCCTCCAGGACCGACAGCAGTAGCCTCAGCGCCAACACCCTCAGCAGCTTCAGCTCCAGTCGTACCCGCAGGCCCAGCAGCTCTAGTACTCCCAGTACGAGCACCTCCGGCACACGCGATACCAGCATCCTCAGTAGCCGAAGAACCTCCAGCTCCAGCAACACGCCTCCAGCGCCGGCAAACCACTCCCGCAGCTCCTGTGGAGAGAGTGGCTCCCGCCGAGAAGAAGCACCCGGAGAACCTCCAGGCACAGTACCGCCAGACGCGACACGAGCAGGCCCAGCTCCCTCAGGCTCCGCACCCCCAGGCTCAGCACCTCCAGGCGTAGCACCCCCAGGCTCAGCACCCCCAGTCGTAGCACCCCCAAGCTCAGCACCCCCAGGCGTAGCACCCCCAGGCTCAGCACCCCCAGGCTCAGTACCCCCAGTAGTAGCACCCTCAGGCTCAGCACCCCCAGGCGTAGCTCCCACACGCTCAGCACCCCCAGAGTCAGCACCCCCAGGCTCAGCACCCTTAGCAGCACCAGAGTCACTAGCAACCTTGACAGGCTCGACTGCGTCTACCTGGGACACACGTGAAGGGGCAGGACCCTGAGGGGGGAGGGGGTCTACCGGGGGGGGACCTGGCACAAGGAAGAGCGGTGGCGGGGGGAGGGACGGAGTGCGGTAGGGGAAGAGGCGGTAGTAGGGGACTGGCTCGTCAAACGTGACGTCCTGGGAGGACAGAACACGGCAAGAGGTGGGGTGGTAGAACTGCCACCCTGACGCGTCAGGGGGGAAGCCAAGGAAGACGCAAGGAGCAGCACGAGGGGACAGCTTGTCCGCAGACAAGTCGCGGACAAACGCCCGAGATCCCCAGACACGGAACGCAGACGCATCGCCAACCTTCCCGATCCATAGCAAAGTTGGGGAGGTCTCTGGCATGGAGACCCTGGGCTGAAGGTTGATCTGATGCGCCGTGTACCGAACCGCAAACGGCCATAGAAAATGGGGGGCAGCCGCATGCATCATGGACGTACGGGCGACGTCCATGACCATGCCAATGCGGCGCTCAGCAATCCCATTTTGCTGTGGAGAGTCCGGAAGCGTGAAGGGCTGGCGGATGCCTCGTGCACGACAGTAGGCTCGCAGAAGGCCAAAGGAGAACTCTTCGCCTCGGTCAGAGTGCAGACGCAGAACAGGAAAGTCCGAGCCGAAGCTCTGCCTGAGCTGGAGACGAGCTGCGCGGATCCAGTCGATCAACACCTCAGTGACATCACCCTTGCTGCGCAAGGGGAAGACTGTGGTGTAACGCGAGTAGTCGTCAACCACCAGCAGGAAATAGCCCTCGTGACCCTGTCCACGGACGCGGGCTGGGCCCCACACGTCCATGTGAAGCGTCTGCAGCGGGGCCTCTGTCGGAGGAAACTGGGAGGAGTGAGGGGCAACACGCTGCCGCCTCTCGACGCAGGGGACGCAGGCAGGGGCAGGCCCTGTCAAACATTGTATGTTGTGCTTGTTTAGGCTACAGTGGGTTAGCCTATAGTGGGTACACATTTCTAGGGTTAGGTTTGACCTTTTTGTACCCAACCCTCATTCTAGTCATTCATTCTCGTTTCTCATTCTGACATGGTATTACGAGCCTAGGTTCCGCCTAGGACCGAAACGATAGGGCCCACCGTTTCCGCTCGCCGCGCCCTCGTGCGCCGCCTTTTCCTGCGCCTCGAGCACCTCGTTCTTAAGGCCCCCTAAGGCCCTCTCGCGTCGCCCCTTAAGGCCCCTCACAGCCCCTCGCGTCGCCCTCTTAAGGCCCCTTACGGCCCCGCGCTAACCTCTCAAGGCCCCGTGTGGCCCCGCGCTAGCCTCTCACGGCCCCCGATCGGCCCCGCGCTAGCCCCCTAAGGCCCCCGTCGGCCCCGCGCTAGCCCCGCGCTAGCCCCCTAAGGCCCCCGTCGGCCCCGCGCTAGCCTCTCACGGCCCCCGAACGGCCCCGCGCTAGCCCCGAATGGCCCCGTGCGGCCCCCGCGCTAGCCTCTCACGGCCTCCCTCGACCCCGCGCTAGCCCCCCCCCTAAGGCCCCCGTCGGCCCCGCGCTAGCCTCGAACAGCCCCGCACTAGCCCCGAACGGCCCCCAACCGGCCTCCCCCTCGCCCTGGACGGCCCTGCGCTCTCCCTTAGCAGCCCCACCCGGCCCCGCGCTCGCCCCTCTAGGACCGAGCCGAACCGCGCGACCCGACTGAGCCGCGCGACCCGACCGAGCCGCGCCGCCCTAGCCGAGCCGTGCCGCTCTAGCCGTGCCGCGCCGCCCTAGCCGAGCCGCGCCGCCCTACTGCTACTACCACTGCTGCTACTGCTACTCCTGCTACTACTACTGCTGCCACTGCTACTGCTTCAGCTATGGCTAGCCCTACAGTTCTCTCGTTTGATGCTGAGGGCCGCCCGATTAAGTTTGAGACCTGGCTCGATGATCTGCACCTGTTCCTCCAGCTCACTGCCAGAGAGGATATCTTGCTGTACGATCACGCACTAGGCACAGTCCCTGCTCCTGCTACTACTGCTACCGCTACTGCTCGCTCGCAGTGGCAGACTCGCGATGCCCACGCCCGCTTTGCCATTCGCAACTCCCTGCCAGTCGATGAGCGCGAGCACTTTGGCCAGCATCAGACTGCGCAGGCCCTGTACACTGCTGTAGTTGCGCGCTACTCCTCCCCGGCCTCAGCTGCACTAGGCCGTCTCTCCCTTCCCTACCTGTTCCCCGACCTGTCCGCTTTCCAGACAGTCGCTGACCTCATCACTCACCTCCGTACTAGTGATGCCCGCTTCCGTGCAGCCATGCCCGCTGAGTTTCTTGCCTCCAACCCTCCCCCGCTCTGGCTCACTCTCTACCACCTAGTCACCCGCCTCCCTGACACTCTGCGTACAGTCAGGGACCACTTCTTAGCTCGCTGCCCCACTGAGCTCACCATTGCCGCCCTAGAGAAGGAACTACTTGCAGCTGAGAAGAGTATTGTAGCTGTAGGTGCCTCTCGTGGCGACCCCCGCACCCCTTTCTTCGAGGGGTGTTCCCCCTCCCCCCTCCTCCCCTCTGTCGCCTCTGCTGCTGCTGTCGACCTTCATGGTGCTGAGCAGATCGGCTCTGCGTCCGCTCCCAGAGGGCGCCGCAGCGGCAAGGGCAGGGGAGGCAAGGGCGGTGGGGGTGACGGCGGGGGCGGCGGTGGTGGGGGTGGTGGCAGCGGTGGGGGCGGTGGCGGGGCTGGAGGGGCTAGTGGCAGCGGTGGGGGTGGTGGAGGCAGCGGCGGCGGCGGTGGCCGGGGTGGGGGCGGTGGTGGTGGCGGCAGTGGACATGGCGGCGGCAGGGGCGGTGGTGGTCGTGGTGGAGGCGGCGGTGGTGGTCGTGGAGGCTCTGGCACTGGCCAGAGTGCGCAGCACCCTCAGTCCTCCCAGGAGCTTCGTGAGTGGTACTTACAGCACGGAGGTGGGGGGGGTAGCCTTAGCTGCACGTACGTCATCCGCACTGGTCGCCGCAAGGGACAGACGTGCGGGAGGGCGCACATTGCGCAGCGCTGCTTCTCTCGCCTAGATGACGCTTGGCGTGCTCAGTTTCCTGACGCTCCTGAGCTCCCTCAGTGGGCTGATCTCCTCAAGAAGGATATCGATATCTATGCTCTTGATTTTGATGTTATTCTCAAAGCAATGTATGCATTGACTATTAGTGGAGAGGAGGACCAGTGCCTGAGTGTTCCGCCTGACCCAGGCATCCGCACGAGTGAGGCTGCCGCCCTAGGTGCTTGCGTGTCTGCTGCCCCAGGTGCTGGTGAGGCTACTGCTCTAGGTGCTTGTGTGTCCTCCGCCCCAGGTACTACTGAGTCCACTGAGGCACTGCACACCTTCACTCTAGACTCAGGCGCTTCGCGCTGTTTCTTTCGTGACCGCACTGCTCTTGAGCCCCTTGCTCGACCAGTCGCTGTCTCGCTCGCTGACCCCTCTGGGGGTCCGGTCATTGCGACCTCCTCCACCCTCCTTCCTTGTCCTGCTGTCCCGTCGGGCACACTGTCAGGTCTCCACCTCCCCTCGTTCTCTACGAACTTGGTGGCGGGTTGTGCGCTTCAGGATGGGGGTGTTCACCAGTTCACCCCTGCCTACGAGCGCGTGACACACTGCACGTGTGCTCGGACGGGCCGTCACCTAGCTACCTTCACTCGGCAGCCAGGGTCGGACCTGTACACACTGACCACTGAGTCCCCTCAGGTAGCGGCGTCTGCGTCTGCGTCTGCGTCAGGTCAGCTGTCTGCCCCCTGCTCGTGTCGCTCTCTAGCGCACAAGACTGTCCTCTGGCACCACCGACTTGGTCACCCGTCAGTGCAACGCCTTCGGGGCATGCACGCCCGGTACCTTGTCTCTGGTCTTCCTCGGGTACTCCCTCCCCTCCCACCCTCCCTTGCTCCTCCTTGTCTTCCCTGTGTCGAGGGGCGGCAGCGCGCTGCCCCTCACTCCTCCTCGTTCCCCCCGACGACTCCTCCTTTGCAGACGCTCCACATGGACGTGTGGGGCCCAGCCCGCGTCCATGGTCAGGGCCAGAAGAGGTACTTCTTGATCGTCGTTGACGACTACTCGCGCTACACCACGGTCTTCCCCTTGCGCACCAAGGGTGAAGTCCCTGATGTCCTGATCCCTTGAATCAGCAGAGCACGTCTTCAGCTGCGAGAGCGTTTTCGCTCGGAGTTTCCTGTCCTACGCTTGCACTCTGACAGAGGTGGCGAGTTCTCCTCCGACCTCTTGGCAGCCTACTGTGCTGAGCACGGCATTCGCCAGTCGTTCACGCTTCCGGCCTCTCCACAGCAGAATGGGGTTGCTGAGCGCCGCATTGGCTTGGTCATGGAGGTCGGTCGTACCTCCTTAGTCCACGCGGCTGCCCCCCACTTTTTGTGGCCGTTTGCAGTCCGGTACGCTGCGCATCAGCTCAACCTCTGGCCCCGTGTCTCCGCTCCGGAGACCTCGCCCACACTGCTGTGGACGGGGGAGGTTGGCGATGCGTCACGCTTCCGTGTCTGGGGATCTCGAGCTTTTGTTCGTGACACGTCTGCGGACAAGCTCTCCTCCCGCACTGCTCCCTGTGTCTTTCTTGGCTTTGTACCGGATGCGTCTGGCTGGCAGTTTTACCACCCCGCCTTGCACCGCGTCTTCCCCTCTCAGGACGTCACTTTTGACGAGTCCGTGCCCTTCTACCGCCTCTTCCCCTACCCCACTGCCCAGCTCCCTCCCCCGCCTCTCTTCCTTGCGCCAGGTGTTGCAGTGGTAGACCACCTCCCCCCTCAGGGTGCCGCTCCCTTAGGTGTCTCTCAGGTAGACCCGGTTGAGCCTGCCGAGGTAGCTGTCGACTCGCGTCCTGCTAGAGGTGCTGAGCCTGAGCGTGCGGAGCCTGAGCGTGCGGAGCCTGAGCGGGCGGAGCCTGGGGGTGCTGAGTCTGGGGGTGCTGAGACTGGGGGTACTGAGCCTGGGGGTGCTGAGTCTGGGGGTACTGAGACTGGGGGTGCTGAGCCTGGGGGTGCTGGGTCTAAGGGTACTGAGCCTGGCGTTGCTGAGTCTGGGGGTGCTGAGCCTGGTGGTGTTGCAGTTGACTGTGAGGCGCCTGGAGGACCTCCCTCTTCACAGCAGCTACGTGAGTGGTACTCACGGTACTGCAGCCTCCGGCGGGGTGCGTCTCGAGCTCGTGGTGCTACTGGATTTGGTACTTGTGTTTCCCCACCACGGCGGGAGCCGCCCTCTTCCCCACAGCTTCGAGAGTGGTACGCTCGGCACATCTGTCTCCGGAGTGGAGCTGCTGGTGCTCAGGTCCCCGGAGTTGACGCTGCTGCGGGTGCTGCGGACCCTGGTGCTGGAGGTGCTGCTGCTGCTGGCGGTGCTGCTGGAGGTGCTGCTCGTACTGAGGACCCGGGCGTTGGAGCTGGTGCGGGTGCTGCGGACCCTGGTGCTGGAGGTGCTGCTACTGCTGGAGGTGCTGCTGGTGCTTTTGGAGGTGCTGCTGCTGCCGCTGGTGTCTCTGCTGGTTCGAGAGTTGCTGCACGGCCACGGCCGTACTTCGTTCCGCTCCTTCAGCAGGTTCTTGGTCAGCGTCCTCCTCCTTGTCCTCCTCTCGCCTTAGAGTGTTCGCCGTCTGTCCAGTCACAGCCACAGTTACCGCCTGCCTCCCCACTCCCTGTGCCTACTCCTTACACTGGTCCGACTGGAGGTCTTGCTGAGAGACGTGAGCCTGCGTCACGTCCTGTGTCACCTGCGTCTTGTCGAGCGTCGCCTGTTCATGCTGCTACCACTGGTAGTCGTGTCCAGAGTCAGCGTCCTCCTGCTGTCCCAGGCACTCACCAGATGGCGCTTCGTCAGTCCACTGCTCCGCAGCGTGTCGCTCTCCCGTCGCCTCCTGCGTCCTCTCTTCCTGCTCTTGCTGACCCGGAGTCAGACACCCTTCGCGCTGCCAGTCCTACTGTCACACGTCTCCTGGCTACGGTTGTCACTGACCCTTCCTTTGAGTCCGCTGCTGCGTCTGCCTTAGTCACTGAGCTTGTCGACTTTGCAGCTGCGTGTCGTCTAGACTACGCTGCGAGTCTTGTTGCTGAGTCTGAGTCTGTCTATCCTCCGTCCGTCGGGGGTGAGTGTGCTCTTGACACGGACGTTCTTGAGGACAGGCACGAGGAGTTTGGTTGCCTTGCCGCTGCTTTGCCCCATCTCGTGTCCATGCTTGTTGCCCCTAAGGGAGACCCGGATGCACCAGACATCCCGACCCCACGCTCTTACGCAGAGGCGATGGCCGGTCCCTACTCCTCTCAGTGGCAGTCAGCCATGGACACAGAGATGGCTTCCTGGAAGTCCACTGGCACCTACGTCGACGAGGTTCCCCCACCTGGGGCGAACATCGTCAGTGGCATGTGGATTTTCAGGGTGAAGCGGCCGCCGGGCTCTCCGCCTGTCTTCAAGGCGCGTTACGTTGCACGAGGCTTCAGTCAGCGAGAGGGAGTTGACTTCTTCCAGACCTTCTCCCCGACCCCAAAGATGACCACTCTTCGGGTTCTGCTACACGTCGCCGCTCAGCGTGACTACGAGCTCCACTCTCTTGACTTCAGCACAGCTTTCTTGCAGGGCAGCCTGCACGAGGAGATCTGGCTGCGCCGCCCACCTGGCTTCACTGGGTCGTTCCCTCCTGGTACCCAGTGGAGCCTCCGGCGGCCAGTCTACGGTCTCCGCCAGGCGCCACGTGAGTGGCACGACACACTGAGGACTACACTTGCGGCTCTTGGGTTCGCTCCTTCTACTGCTGACCCGTCGCTGTTTCTACGCACCGACCCCTCACTGCCGCCGTTCTACATCCTCGTGTACGTCGATGACTTGGTCTTTGCCACTTCTGACACAGTTGGTCTTGCTCACGTGAAGTCCGAGCTGCAGAAGAGACACACGTGCACAGACCTGGGTGAACTGACAAGCTATCTTGGCTTGCGGATCACCCGGGACAGAGCACGCCGCACCATCACCTTGACTCAGTCACACATGGTGCAGCAGGTCCTTCAGCGCTTCGGCTTCACGTACTCCTCGCCTCAGTCCACTCCTCTGCCTACGGGACACTCGCTCTCAGCTCTGCCTTCGGATGAGTCTGTAGAGCCGAGTGGTCCGTATCCAGAGCTTGTGGGCTGCCTCATGTACCTGATGACCTGCACTCGACCTGACCTTGCATACCCTCTCAGCATCTTAGCACGCTATGTCGCTCCCGGCCGTCACCGGAAGGAGCACATGGATGCAGCTAAGAGGGTGTTGCGCTACTTGTGCAGTACGTCGGGCATGGGGCTAGTGCTTGGAGGGCGAGACCGGCCTGTTCTCACTGGGCACTCAGACGCTTCTTGGGCAGACGACCAGGCTACTCAGCGGTCGTCCCACGGTTACACCTTCAGCCTTGGCTCTGGCTCTGTCTCTTGGCGTTCTACTCGCTCTTCTTCTGTTCTCAGCTCCAGCTGTGAGGCTGAGATCTACGCCACGACCATGGCTGCCCAGGAGCTTCGCTGGCTCACCTACCTGCTGACTGACCTTGGAGAGCAGCCTCGTTCTCCTCCAGTGCTGTACGTCGCCAACAAGGCCACCATTGCCTTGTGTGGGGAGCACAGACTGGAGCACAGGACGAAGCACATTGCTCTGCGCTACTTTCTTGCTCGAGAGCTGCAGCAGCGAGGTCAGCTTTGTCTGCGTTACGTGGCCACTCGGGCCAACACTGCTGACGTGTTCACCAAGGCGCTTCAGCCTTGTGACCATCAGCGCTTCTGTACTGTTCTAGGCCTCGTGCCCACTGTCCCACATTTGCTCACTTCTTGACTTTGCTTGTACAGTGATCTCTATATATATATACCTGCATGCTTACTCTTGCTAGGTTGTGATCACTGTATCTCTTGTTCTTTTATAAATCTGCATGTGAACTGGTCTTGTGACCGCTTGCTTGTGCTCAGAACTTGTGTGGTATCCTTGAGATCCACCCTGAGCTTTGCTTTGCTTTGACTGGTCTTGTGACCCCTTGTTCTCCCCCACTTTGCCTATGGGGGTGTGTCAAACATTGTATGTTGTGCTTGTTTAGGCTACAGTGGGTTAGCCTATAGTGGGTACACATTTCTAGGGTTAGGTTTGACCTATTTGTACCCAACCCTCATTCTAGTCATTCATTCTCGTTTCTCATTCTGACAGGCCCCGGAAGAAAGGGAGGGAGGGACGGGGGAAGACCAGAGACAAGGACACGGGAGGCCATGCCTCGGAGACGAAGCAGGGAGGGGTGACCAAGGCGATGGTGCCAGAGGAGAGTCTCGTGAGACAGGAGGCGACACGAGCAGGGGGCAGACTCAGGACCAGACCTGGACGCTGCAGCAAACACCTGACCCGACGCAGCTACCTGACCAGACGTAGTGACAGGAGGAGACTCAGTGGTCAGTGTGTACAGGCTCGACCCCGGCCGACGTGTAAACGTGGCCAGGTGTCAGCCTGTCCGAGCGTCCGTGCAATGAGTCACCCGCTGACTCGTAGGAGTGAACTGGTGAACCCCCGCATCCTGTAGGTCAACACCACTCACCAAGTTTGTAGAGAACGAGGGGAGGTAAAGGCCAGACAGGGTGCCAGAGGGGGCCGCCGGACACGGAAGGATAGCGGAGAAGTGAGCAAGGACAGTACCCCCAGAGGGGTCTGCCAAAGAGACTGCAACTAGCCGACCAAGCGGCGTGAGTGTGGTGCGATCTCGAAAGGAGCGAGAAGCCCCCGCGTCAAGGGTGAAGGTGTGGAAGGCCGAAGCCGACGCGGTACCTAAGAGAGCAGACTCACCAGCACCTGAGTAAGCAGACGCACTGGCACCTAGAGCAACAGCCTCACCAGTACCTAGAGCAGCAGTCTCAATGCCCGGGTCGGGCGGAAAACACCGGTAACAGTCACCCTCATCACTAATAGTCACAGCATACATGGCAGCAAGAATAGCATCAAAGTCAAGGTCAAAGATAGCTACTCCCGCCCTAGACAGCTCGCCCCAGCGAGGGATCTCAGTGGTATCAGGGAACTGGTGACGCCAAGCGTCCGTGAGGCGGCCAAAGCAGTAGGACGTAGGTGCACGGACCAATACCCCCACCCCTCTGGCGTGCAGCGTACCACTCACGGAGCTGCTGAGGGGGGGGGATGTCACGAGTACGCTGCTGCTGCTGGCGCTGACCACCACCGGAGCCGACCCTCTGCGCAGCGCCACCCCGACCAGCTCCGCCTCCTCCGCCGCCCCCTCCTCCTCCGCTGCCACCCCCGCTGCCTCCGCCCCCACCGCCACCGCCGCCTCCGCCTCCGCCTCCACTGCCGCCACCGACACCTCCACCCCCTCCACCACTCCCACCACCACCCCCACCCCCTCCACTGCCGCCACCGCCACCTCCGCCACCCCCGCCACCCCCGCCACCCCCTCCAGCTCCCTTGCCCCCCTTGCCCTTGCCGGTGCGGCATCTCCCGCTCGGGGCAGACGCAGCGACGACCGACTCGAGACCAACGAGGTCCGCCGCAGCAGCAGAGGCAACAGAGGGCAAAAGGGGGGAGGGGGAACACCCCTAAAAGACGGGGGTGCGAGGGTCACCACGAGAGGCTCCTACAACGTCTATGCTCTTCTCTGCCGCTAGGAGGGCCTTCTCGAGGAGGTCAACGGTGAGAGTGGTGGGGCAAACTGAGAGGAAGTGGTCCCTGACTACGCGGAGAGAGTCAGGGAGCCAGGTGACTATGTAGTAGAGGGTGATGTACATGGGGGGGGGGGGGGGGGGTCTTGGCGCAAAACTCTGCAGGAAGCGCAGCGCGGTAGCGAGTGTCACTAGTGCGGAGGTGCGTAATGAGGTCAGTGACTGTGGGAAAGGCAGCAAGGTCAGGGAAGAGGTACGGTAGCATGAGGCAGCTCAGTGCAGCAGTGGCAGGGGAGGAGTAGCGTGCAACTACAGCATCGTACAAGGTCTGAGCACTCTTGAACTGGCTAAAGTGGGCACGCTCAGAGGTAGGCAGGTGGCGACGCACAGCAAGACGTGCAGCAGCATCGCGTGTGGCCCACTGTGAGCGAACAGTGGCGTCAGCATCAGCAGCAGGGGCAGGAGAGGCACCAGAAGTGAGGTCAAAGAGGGAGAGACCGTCTGCCCTATCGCACTGTAGGAAAAGCTGGAGGTCATCTACCCAGACGTCAAAGTCAATGGCCTGACCCTCAGCGTCAAAAGCGAGGACACTAGGGGTAGCCCTGACAGCAGTAGACTAGCAGCGCGAACAGTAGGGTAAGGGCAGTGCAGTGACAAAGGCGCTGCTCTTACCGGACAGGGCGGCTCGGGCGGCTCGGCGGTTCGGCGGCTCAGCGGCTCGGCGGCTCGGCAGCAACTGCGGCTCGGCGACTCGGCGGCGCTGGCGGCTAGGCGGCTCGGCAGTACGGCGGCTCGGCAGCTCAGCGACCCGGCGGCTCGGGCGGCTCAGGTGGCGCGGTGGCTCGGGCGGGTCAGGTGGCTCGGGCGGCTCGGCAGAAGGTCGGCGGCGCCAGCGGCTCGGTGGTGACGGCAGGGCCGCGTGGGGACGGCGGCGGGGCCGGTAGAGGCAGCGCCGGGGCCGCAGGGTAGGCGACGGGGCCAGCAGAGGCGGCGCCGGGGCCGGGAAGGGCGGTGCCGGGGCCGCAGGGGTAGGCGACGGGGCCAGCAGAGGCGGCGCCGGGGCCGGGAAGGGCGGCGGCGGGGCCGCAGGGGTATGCGACAGGGCCGCAGGGTAGGCGCCGGGACTGCAGGGTAGGCGACGGGGCCAGCACGGTCGGCAACGGGGCTGCGGGGTAGGTGCCGGGGCCGCAGTGTAGGCGCCGGGGCCGCAGGGTAGGCGCCGGGGCTGCAGAGTAGGCGTCGGGGCCAGTAGGGTAGGTGACGGGGCCCCAGGGTAGGCGACGGGGCCGCGAGGGTAGGCGCCGGGGCCGCGAGGGTAGGCGACGGGGCCGCGAGGGCGGCATGGAGGGGTCGCTAGGGCGGCTCGAAGAGGCCGCGAGGGCGGCGCGAAAGGGCCGCAAGGGCGGCGCGACGCGACGGGGCCGCGAGGGCGGCGGAACGGGGCCGCGTGGGCGGCGTGACGAGGCCGCGAGGGCGGCGCGACGTGATGGGGCCGCGAGGGCGGCGCGACGGGGTCGCAAGGGCGATCCGACGGGGCCGCTAGGGAAGCGCGACTCGACGGAGCCGCTAAGGCGGCGCGACGGAGTCGTAAGGGCGGCGCGACGGGGTCGTGAGAGGGGAGCGCGACTCGGGCAGAGGCTGAGCGCGCTCCGGGCAGGAGAAAAAAAAAATCGGTGGGCCCTAGGAACAGTTCCCACAGGGGAACCTGCTCTATACCATGTTAAATTGAACGAGAATGAATTGACTAAGGGAAATTTGGGTACAAGTACAAACCCTAGAAAGTCGTACCCCATATGTGCTAGCGAACTCGCGTTGTCGCGCACTCGCGCACTCGCGAAGTCGCGCATTCGCGCACTCGCGCAGTCTTGTAGTCGCGCACTCGCGCTGTGACGCACTGACGGTGTCGCGCGCTCGCGCACTCGTGCTCTCGCGCACTCGCGCTCTCGCGCTCCGCGCAGTCGTGCACTCGCGCAGTCTCGCACTCGCGCAGTCACGCAGTCGCGAACTCGCACACTCGCGCATGAAACAATCCAGTTTGTAAATTACGATTTGCGCCGTGCGTTGTTGCTGCGTTGCGCATTAGCGTCGTTGCGCTGTTGGGATTTATTTTCGGAGGAATTTAAAATATATTTACAACATTTAGAACAATCTAGTTATACTATTATTGTTCATTGAACAATCTAGCTTCTACTTTTTCCTAATCAATCTACTAATATCTTGAGCATCGTGACATCGTGAGCATCGTGACATCGTGAGCATCGTGACAAGGTGAGCATCGTGACATCGTGAGCATCGTGACAACATAAGCATCGTGACATCGTGGGCATCGTGACATTGTGAGCATCGTGATATCGTGAGCATTGTGAGCATCGTGACATCGTGAGCATCGTGACCTCGTGAGCATCGTGACATCGTGACATCGTGAGCATCGTGACATCTTGAGCATCGTGACATCGTGAGCATCGTGAGCATCGTGACTATCGAGAGCATCGTGACATCGTGAGCATCGTGACAAGGTGAGCATCATGACATCGTGAGCATCGTGACAACGTAAGCATCGTGACATCGTGAGATCATGAGCATCGTGACATCGTGAGCATCATGAGCATCGTGACATCCTGAGCATCGTGACATCGTGAGCATCGTGACATCGTGAGCATTGTGACATTGTGACATCGTGAGCATCGTGAGCAAGATAAGAAAATGAATAAAATCAATAAACTTAAACGTAGAAAGTGCATGTAGTAATCAAACAACTTTCTATAAATTTACACAATCTGAAAAATCCATCGGAATTATTTAAACCTGTAATTTAAGCACTAGATTGTTCAATAACATTCTATAAGCATATTCAAGCTCATTGTGACAAGGCTCAAATATCGTGTCTAGGAAACGATACCTTGCGGTTATAGCGTTGCGCCGTGCGTGCTGTTGCGCGCTCGCGCTGTCGCGCACTCGCGCTGTCGCGCACTCGCGCTGTCGCGCACTCGCGCTGTCGCACACTCGCGCTGTCGCGCACTCGCGATGTCGCGCACTCGCGCTGTCGCGCACTCGAGCACGCGCGCTCCGCGCAGTCGCGCAGTCCCGCACTCGCGCAGTCGCGAATGTCAAATGTTCTGTCTGCTACAGTTTGTTTAGGCTGTAGTGGGGTAGTTACTATGGGGTACAGTAAGTTTAGGGTTTCCTACTTGTACCCAACTCTTTCCTAGTGCAATCACTCTTGTTGATTCTGACATGGTATCACGAGCCTAGGTTGCCACCTAGGACCGCTTACTACTATGGGCCCACTATTCCGCTAGGAGCGCCCTCGTGTGCCCTACCTTACGTGTGCCCTCGTGCGTCTGTCTCTGCTTATGCCCTCGTGCGCCCTTTTTCTGCTAGTGCGCCCTCACGCGCCCCGCCCTTCGTTCTGCCTACACGCCGTCCTGCAGCCCTCGCGCTGCCTCTTGCTGCCCTAGGTCAGTGCGCCGCCCCTGCAAGCTAGTACGGCCCTCGAGCCGCCCCTGCAGGTCCGTTAGGCCCCCGAGCCACCTCTGCAGGCCCGTCAGGTCCCCTAGCCGCCTCTGCAGGCCCGTCAGGCCCGAGAGCCGCCCCTGCAGGCCCGTCAGGTTGGCGTGCTGCCCCTGCAGGACCACGCCGCCCGCACGAAGCTTCTGCCCGACCGCGCGCCTCCCCTGCAGGCCCGCGCCACCCGCACGCAGCCTCTGCAGGCCCGTCAGGCCAGGGCGCGACCCCGTCAGGTCGTAGTCGCGGCCCCGTCAGGCCGCAGTCGCGGCCCCGTCAGGCCGCAGTCGCGGCCCCGCCCTGCCGTGACGCGGCCCCGCCAGCCCTGCAGCTGACGCGGCCGCGTCCTCCTACTGACGCGGCGTCGCCCCTGCCCGCCGCGTCGCCCTGCCCGCCACGTCGCCCCTGCCCGCGGCATTGCCACTGCCCGCTGCGTCGCCCTGACCGCCGCGTCGCCCCTTCCCGCCGCATCGCCCTGCCCGCAGCGTCGCCCCTGCCCGCCGCATCGCCTTGCCCTAACCCGCGCCGGGCCCCTGGAGCAGCGGCCCCTGGATCGGCCAACACTGCAGCAGCTGTCCCTGGCCCCTGGAGCGGCCGCCCCTGCAGCAGCCGCCCCTGGCCATTGGAGCAGCCGCCACTGCAGGAGCCGCCCCCGGCCCCTTGAGCAGCCGCCCCTGGAGCACCCGCCCCTGTAGCAGCGACCGTCGCAGCCCTGTCCCTGCCCTGCACCAGCCGCCGTTGCGGCCCGGTCCCGCCCTGCAGCAACTGCTGCGGAGCTTCCTGCCGCGGTCGCGACCCCGCCCTGCCGCTGTAACGGCCCCGCAATCGCCTCCGTCGTGCGCCTACCCTTCCCACCACTGGTGAGCACTGCCCTGCCCATGTTACTGCTGCTGCTACTGCTACTGCTGCTCCTGCTGCTCTTGCTTCTACTACTGCTCCTGGCGTGGCCAGATGCAGCTCCAGGGCCGTCTGCGTGTGTCCCTCACGCCCCAGCAGCTTCGTGAGTGGTACGCCAGTTGGGGTTGTCGAGGTGGCAGTAGTGGGCGTCGTCCTGGAGTGGGTAGTTCGGGAGCTTCTTGTAGTGACCCTGTGCAGCAGCAGCGTCGTCCGCGCGAGACTCTTTCGCCCCAGCAGCTTCGTGAGTGGTACGCTCAGAGTACAGGGTCGCTGAGTTCTGCTCGCTGCCCGTACGTTATTAGCACGGGTGTCAGGACTGGTCAGCCTTGCGGGACGCGTGGTCACACAGAGTCCCGCTGCTTCGCCCGTCTGAGCGACGCTTGGCGTATAGAGTTTGGCGACGCCGCTGAAATCCCCGACTGGGTGGAGCTGCTTAGGCAGAGGGTAGATATCTTTACTCTTGACTAGGATGCTATTCTCACTGCAATGTATGCATTGTCTACTAGTGCTGAGGGAGCCCGTCACCTGTGTGTGCCGCCTGACCCCGGTATCCAGTCTGCTGCTCCAGGTGCCGGTGAGGCTGCCGCTCTAGGTGCTAGTGCGTCTGCTGCCCCTGGTCGTGGTGAGGCTGCAGCCCTAGGTGCAGGTGTGTCTGCTGCTTCAGGTGCTTGTGAGTCTGCGCCTTCAAGTACTGCGTCTTCTAAGGCACTGCACACCTTCACGCTGGACTCAGGTGCTTCCCGCTGTTTCTTTCGCGACCGCACTGCCCTCGAGCAGCTCCCTAGGCCGGTTGCTATCTCCCTGGCTAACCCCTCCGAGGGTCCGGTCCTTGCGACCTCCACCACTGCCCTCCCTTGTCCTGCTGTCCCGTCCGGCACTCTGTCTAGCCTTTACCTCCCCTCGTTCTCTACGAACTTGGTGGCGGGTTCCGCGCTCCAGGACGCGGATGTTCACCAGTTTGTTGAGATAGGAGCACAAGTGGTAGTTAAGTTTAGGTAGGGCCTAAGCTTAGTAGCCTAGGCCAAGGGGAAGTCGAGAAAGTTGTGCCAAGGAGAAAATCGAGAATGGGAATGATGTTCACTATAGCACTAGGGTACATATAGCAAACAGAGCATGCAAAGAAGGTGCACCACCAACACTATATAATAACTACACTAAACTACAGCTACAGGCAGTTACATTTATATTCTAACACAGTTCACCCCTGCCTACGAGCGTGTGACACACTGCACGTGTGCCCAGACGGGTCGTCACCTATCTACCTTCACTCGGCAGCCAGGGTCGGACTTGTACACACTGACTACTGAGTCCCCTCAAGTAGCGGCGTCTGCGTCTGCGTCAGGTCACTTGTCTGCCCCTTGCTCGTGTCGCACCCTATCGCACCGTACGGTCCTCTGGCACCACCGCCTTGGGCACCCTTCGATGCAGCGCCTTCGTGGCATGCACTCTCGTTTCCTTGTCTCTGGTCTCCCCAGGTCACTGCCTCCCCTGCCACCATCCCTTGCCCCTCCTTGCCTTCCCTGTGTTGAGGGGCGGCATCGTGCCACTCCTCACTCCTCTGAGTTCCCCCCGACGGAGGCTCCTCTGCAGACCCTTCACATGGACGTGTGGGGCCCAGCCTGCATCCGTGGACAGGGCGGAGAGCGCTACTTCCTACTGGTAGTTGACGACTACACGCGTTACACCACGGTCTTCCCCTTGCGCACCAAGGGAGAGGTCCCTGCTGTCTTGATCCCTTGTATCCGCGCTACTCGTCTCCAGCTGGAGAGGCGCTTTTGCACGGACCTTCTCGTCTTGCGACTGCACTCTGACAAAGGTGGTGAGTTTTCCTCTGGCCTCTTGGAGGCCTTCTGTCAGGGGGAGGGCATTGAGCAGACGTTCACGCTTCCGGCCTCTCCTCAGCAGAATGGGGTTGCTTAGCGCCGCATTGGCTTGGTCATGGAGGTCGCTCGTACCTCCTTGATCCATGCGGCTGCCCCCCATTTTCTGTGGCCGTTTGCGGTCCGGTACGCCGCGCATCAGCTCAACCTCTGGCCCCATGTCTCCGTTCCGGAGACCTCGCCGACACTGCGTTGGACGGGAGCGGTTGGCGATGCGTCTGTGTTCCGTGTCTGGGGATCTCGTGCATTTGTCCGCGATACGTCCGCGGACAAGCTCTCCTCCCATGCCGTTCCTTGTGTCTTCTTGGGCTTTGTCCCTGACGCGCCTGGCTGGCAATTTTACCACCCCACCTCGCGCCGTATCTTCCCCTCTTAAGACGTCACGTTTGACGAGCCGGTCCCCTTTTACCGTCTCTTCCCCTACCACACTGCCCCGCTCCCCCCTCCGCCGCTCTTCCTCATGCCAGGTGCTGCTTCGGTAGACCCCCTGCCTCCCCAGGGTCCTGCTCTTCCAGGTGTTTCCCAGGTAGACCCAGTCGAGCCTGTCGAGGTAGCTGTCGACTCTGGTCCTGCGCGAGGTACTAAGCGTGCTGAGCTTGAGCGTGCTGAGCCTGAGCGTGCTGAGCCTGGTGGTTCTGGGTCTGGGGGTACTGCGACTGGGGGTGCTGAGCCTGGGGGTGCGAAGACTGGGGGTGCTGAGCGTGGGGGTGCGGAGACTGCGGGTGCTGAGCTTGGGTGTGCTGAGACTGGGGGTGTTGTCCCTGGGGATGCTGCGTCTGGAGGTCCTGAGCCTGGGGGTGCTGCGCCTGGGGGCGTTCTCTCTTCCCAGCAGTTGCGTGAGTGGTATTCTCGGTACTGTCGCCGCCGCCGTGGTGCTGTGGGAGCTGGAGGTGCTACTTGAGCTGGAGCTGAGGGCGCTGAGCCTACTGGAGTTGGTGTTGCTGCTGACCCTCGAGTTGGCGCTGGAGGTGCTGGAGCCACTGGTTCTGGAGGTGCTCGTACTGGCGGTACTGGAGCTGCTGGAACTGGGGGTGCTACTGAAGCTGCTGGAGCTGGTCCTGCTGGAGATGCTGCTGGTGCTGCTGGAGGAACTGGAGCTGCTGGAG